ACAAATTTCTAGTCAGTAGTCCAAGATCTATCTCTTTATTAAGGATGTTACCTAATTTTGGTAAATTTCTGGTTCATGAGCTGGCAAGGGATAGATTAGACCAAGCATAGGGGCACTTGATCTCCTGAATGGCATGGAGCAGTGCCCTATCTTGTGTTTAATCCCTGCTGTGTTGTTGACAGGCATTGCCAAGGGCCTGTACACTCCCTATTAGTTCAGTCAGAGGCCAAGTGGAGAGACACCACTCCCCAGAAAAAGATGACCAAAGCTAGAATTCATGGCTTTTATTTCATATTTAGCATACTGTCAGCCCTCCTCCCTAACTTCTCAATGCTTTCGTCTCTCAAAATCTGGAAACCATCAACATAAGGGTCTCCCAAAAATCCATTCATGGAAGCTCTAACCTGCTTGATTTGGATATATTAGGGTCCTTAGACATGTAGTATCTCCATCTGTTCCTGGAGATGGGCTAGCAAACTCGTGTAAGAATCCTTCCTTGGTTTTTATTCTCATCAATTCTAGCTGTCACATTCCCTCCAGATATCTCTAGAGCTTTACAGAACCTTTTGTTTGTGAGCCACATTAAGAATGGATAACTCAGATTTTACATTTGTTTTTAAGTCTAGGGAGAGTAGAGTTACTTTGCTCATCATTTCCAAATGTCATAAGTACTTCTGGTAGAGCATCACCACTTCCATAAGTTATTTCATGGAAATAACTAGCTGCAAATATCTGTACCCCCATTCTTCTTCAGTGACATAGTGCCTCTTTGCAGCACTGGCAGTCTACTACTAAGAGGAAAAACATCGCAGTGTTTGAGGACAACAGTTGTAATCATCTTGTCCCAGAAAGCAATTGCTTGGAGTGAATGTAAGTCGTTTCCATTCTATGCAGGTAGGGTGAACTATGATTGGTATGAATGAGAGATAAGAATAGAAGTTATGATGGTTCATCTGCCTGTTAAGTGGTGATCCACCTGCTCAAAATGGAATTGCAGTTCCTTGGAAAGAGCAAGGTAGTAGCCTTGTGATGTCTTGTAATGAATGGGTTTAAATCAAGTTTTGCTAATAGAAAAATTGGGAATCTTTAGTATTTGCAATAGTATTACTACAGCACGGCAAAATTATATTGCATACTATCAGTATTTATATCAGTATCGTTACACACAAGGCTGAGTGTAAATCAGTCTGATGTACAATTTGCATTTGCTGCCTGAGCAGTGTATTCAATTAATTACAAAGAGACTTCAGTCCAAATGATGGATCATCAGCACACCTTCATCCTAATACAGTAAGACTGTGTAGTAATGTTCAAATTTCTTATGACTCTCAGAGTGTGGAAAAGAAACCTTAGAGCTGGAAGGGACCTTGGAGGTCTTCTAGTCTAGCCCCCTGCTCAAGCAGGAGAACCTACACCGTCTCAGACAGGTGAATGTCCAGTCTCTTTTTACAAATCTCCAGTGATGGAGTGCCCACGATTTCTGGGGGTATGCTGTTCCACTGGTTGATTGTCCTCACTGTCAGGAAGTTTCTCCTTAGTTCCAGGTTGCTTCTCTTTTTGATCAGTTTCCAACCATTGTTTCTCGTTCTTCTCTCTGGTGCTTTGGTGAATAACCTGCCCCTCTCTGCCCCGTGGAAGCCCCTCAGATACTGGAACACTGCTATCATGACATAAAAATCTAATAAATACAGAAAGCTGCAAGAAGGAACTAATAATTACAGTATCCTTAAATACTTAAGAATGCATTAGTGTTTTTCACCACTGGGATATTTATGATGCTTAGTAGATCATTTGGCTTGGCTTTATTTCCTGTTAATGTAGACAACTTAATGCAATATTTTGGACATCAGCGCCAATAATCTCAATCAAAATATTTAATAGTACATTTGAAGTCTAGATTCTTTCAGATCTAGAGCTTTTTCTCTGAGCTGTAGTTGGAATGCACCTCTTGTTAGATGCAATAATAATGGAACAAACAAGTTAGTAAAAGAGCTGATCTGATTGTTCCAAGCTGATTGACTTTCAAGAAGTCCTGAATTCTTTCAGTTGAACAAATTGCTGTTCAGATGACTATTAAAAATCTTTTGCAGTTCCTTGGGAGGTTCTTTAGAAAGCCATAAATGACATAATATCCTTACATATAATCAGTGACTTTTAGTTACTTTCCCCAACATAATACACAGTGTAAATTTTTACTGAGCTCAGTGACCAAATTTAAACACAGTTCTACAAAAAGAGCTATAGAGCTTGGGGGGGGGGGAGCAAAAACAAATTCTAGGAAAATTCCATACAATAAAAGGTGAACTAAAAAGCTATAAAAATAAAAATGTTAAGATATAGGAGAAGATCTAAAATATTTGAAATCTTTTGCTTGAAATAAACATGTATTCATCCTAGCACTGCAACTAAACCCAGAGGAGTCACTAATTTACAATATTTTTATTGAATCATTTATTTAAGTATATTTAATTGAGAGAATAAGAATAACAACTTCTCTGCCAGAATCTGTTAAAAAAATTATCACAGCATAGGCTTCTCTAGGATCCAATGGTTTAAGCAGCATGATGAAGCCAGTGCTATGAGGCAAGCTCCACCCCTTATCATGCTTGTATGATATGATAATGTACAGAGTTGCCTCATAGTGCCTCTCTTGAAAAAAAAAAAATCCATGGTAGTAATGTCCTTTCTCAGGTAAAGAGTGAACATCGCTTGATATATTTGGTATTTGATGCTGATGTTACCCCATGAAGTAATTACTAAAATTCAAAGCAATGATTGATTTTTTTTGAAGAAAAAAAAAAGAAATCTTGGGGGGGGGGGAAATCCCCTAATTAATCTTTCATCACTTTCCTTCACTCACATATACAGCCGATGCAGCCAGTCAGTAGGGTACAGTGGGTGAAGGAGCCATTCCTAATTGTAGTAGGCCAACATAAGAAAACATCATCATGACATTGTAACACAAACTCTGCCCTTTGATATTAGCATCATAATATCACAGGCAAGATTGTAAAGAGAAGAGTTACATTGCAATATTGTGATATGGTTTCATCAGTTTGCCCCCCCCCCCCGTCTTCTTCTTTGGACTCTTATGTCCAAAGGAAGGGATAAAGGGGAGGTACTAGATTAGGAAGATTAAGGTTTAAACTTTAATCTTACTCTCAATCATAGAAGTGCACTGACTTTTAGCCAGTCACTCTTTCTCAGCCCAAACTCCCTTGCTGTTCAGGAGAAAAATTGGAGTAGGCACTTCTACATATACAACTTTGACCGTTTTTATTATTAAATAAATAAAACAGGCTATACAGGCCAGCAGACCAGTCAGATCTCTTGCTCATCTGTAGTCAGCGGCAACTTTTGTGCTCAGAAAAGCCGAATGTGCCAAGATCTACAATTAAAGAACAAGTGATGTGTATATGTGTGTAAGAGTGAGTTATTTCTGGGAGCTGAATTTTGTTTCTTTGTTCTTAAATGGTACAGTTTAGAAGATCTTATTGAAGTGGGTAGCCTTGTTTTCCCATTTTGCTCTATATATTGAAAACTTGCTTTGTTTAGAATATAGCTTTTAGCAAAAATGGCAATGATTTATTAATCTATCTCATTTACACACCCTGCATTGACACATACAGGTCAAACCTAAGAGAGGCACAATGGGTACAAACCTGAAAATCATAGATGAATATTCAAAGACACTAGAAAATCAAGCAAAAGCATCAAAACTAATTTCAGATGTTTCATACCACATTACAATATTAGTAAAACATTTTTAAAAGAGAAGCTGTTTTATCAGCATTCCTTTCTTTTAAGAAATCTCATTTTTCAGCTGCAAGATGAATTTTTAATAAATTGTTATGTACAAGAGTAAATTTCTTTGTTGTTCATGGCATTAATTTCCATATGAATAAATTTAGACTTCTGCTCCTGTAGTCTGAATGAACACAATGCAAAGGAGTTGCAATCCTAGATTTGCAGATATGGGCTGTGAAACTCATAAAATACAAAACTTTTTCCTGAACTATTATGCACAGAACTAGCATGAAAACATCAAATTATTTGCTAAAGTAGGGCTTTTTCTACAGTGAATATGTTTGACTCTGGGTGAGATCTCAAGTAGATCCTCTTTTAACATTTCAATATAACTTGAAGTGGATTATCACCACAAAGGAAAGTTTTTCAAAACTAGCATCTTCCAGTTCTGATGGAACTGTGATTCCCAATCCGTATGCTGCCCTTATTCCTTCCTAAGATGCTATTGTTAGGGAAGGTGCCTGCATCAGGCCCTGGAACCAAACTTTTAAGGCCAATTTAAAAAAGATAATACCTCTGAGCATCTTGATAGTTAATCTATTACTAAAATAGCTTGTTTTCTTCTGTTATCCCAATTTAACTTTTATTCCACTAGTAACTAATCTGGAGAGTTAGAGTGCTTGCCAATTACCCTTCCTTCTTGGATGTAAGGACCCATTAATGCATGGGTGAGTGTGCATGGGCACAAGATTTGCAGTGTTCCAAAAATATCCAGTAAAAATTGCAGAAAATGAAGGCCATTTCCTGACTGCCTGTTGGTAGCTATAACCCTGGGGCAGCTTTCTTATAAAAACCTACTTAGAATCAAAACCCACTGAACATAATGGGATTAACCCTAGATGTGGCTGTTGCCCAATGTATGAGAGCCGGCAAGACTCCATCAACTGATTTCCACCACAGGCGATGGATCTCACTCCTAAGGAATTGGGTGCGTGTTGGATCGCAACTGCAAATCCCTTTTGGAGCACCGTCCAAGATCCCCCATTATATGCTACTCAAAAGCCAAGGCATGCGCGGAGGCCAGACCTATTAACCACGACCTTTTTAAGCAAGCTAGCCGTTCCGCTCCAGCTCTCGTCTCGCAAGTGGCTCCTTCCATCTAGTTTCCCGTCTTAGAAGCTTAGAAACCCAGCCTCATCGAGCGCAGCAACGCTCGTTGGCGGTGATCACCCCCAAACGCCAGCCGCTCTTACCCCAAAGGAAAGAAGGCAGCGCCCGCCTGTCACGGCGACGACCCGCGCGTCCAGGTCCAGGCTTGCTGCCAGGGAAATGGATCTGCAGTCTCCGCACCGTCTAGGCATCCAGCAGAGGAGAGAGACTGGGCCAGCCCACCGGCAGAGCCCCGCGCAGAGCGCCCAGCCTCAGTCCACCTGTCTGGGAGCCGCCTGAGAGCTTAGCCTTGTCCATCGCCAGCCCGCGTTCACGTCGCGAGGCTAAGTTTCTTCAGCCACCCTTCGGGTAGAGCGCTGCAGAAGGAGAAAGGGCCACGGGGACCCCTGTTCGGGCGCCGACTCTGTGCCGGGGAAGGAGGGGGCAGCCGCAGTCCCGTCCCAAGATTGCAAAAAGTTTCTTGCTCCACCCTGGGGCGGGCGGTGGGGGTCGCGAAGTAACTCGCTCGCTCCGGGGCCCTGAATGAGGGCACAGCCAGTCTGCATATTCATTAGATGAGTAGGTAGAAAGTGGTCCCTTGGACTGCGTAGCCAGAAGTGGTGGGCGCCATTTCAGAATTTCAAAGAGAGAAAGCAAAGAAGTTCAATGCATGTCTTGAGCTAGCTTTTAAGCATCCTTCCTGTTTTTTCTAGGCTGCTAGATGCAAGTAAGGAATTAAGGTAGGAGTGTGCCCAAATTCTAGGGAGACTGAAACATGTTGATCAATTTTATTAACACTGAAAGTCAATGTTCTCTAATGTTCCACAGGAATATTAAATTTAAGATTAAATTAAAGGCTTAGATTTAATCTTGGATAGCTCTCCAACTAGATTTTATTATATCTATGTAAATTAGCAGAAAATTTAATGCACAAGAAATGTGCCATAATCATCTTCAATCATCCTTTTTTTATCAATTACCTTTTAAGAAGGATATTGGGACTTTTAAAAAGATTTTTAAAAATATATACATATGTTGAGAAATTGATTTTTACTAACATGTGGGTAATGGGATTTTTTTTTTCATTTTACACTATTATATACCTCAGGTGAAATCACAATGCTTTATTCTGGAGTACATTGTCAATTAATTCAGAATTTTTCCAACCTACAGCTCAGCTCTGGGTGGCATCAGAAAATCCAGGCTGCTAACATCCAAATTAAACTTACAAAAGAATAATAATAGAAAAAAATGAGAAAAACACATATATGTCAGATTTCTCCTGTTGCAATTTAAACAGGAAATAGTTATCTCAGGAGCAAGAATCTTATATATACTGAAGATTACGGTTATACAATAATACAAGAATTTCAGTAAATTCTGTGCTTTCAAATGAGAAGGCTGTATACAAGTAGTCCTCGACTTATGAACACAATTCAGCCCCCCAATTTCTGTTGTTAAGTGAGATATTTTTTAAATGAGTTTTGCTCCATTTTGCAACCTTCCTTACCATAGTTGTTAAGCGAGTCACTGCAGTTGATAAGTTAATAACCTGGTTGTTATCTGGCTTCCCCATTGACTGTCTTGTCAGAAGGTTGCAAAAGGTGATCAGTTGATCTTGGGACACAGCAATGGTCATAAGTATGAACCAGTTGCTAAGTGTCTGAATTTTGATCACATGATCATGGGGATGCTTCAAAGATCATAACTTGAAAGTGGTCATAAGTCACTTTTTTCAATGCTATTGTAACTTTGAATGGTCACTAAATGAACTATTGTAAATTGAGGACTACCTGTATTGGCAATCTAGGATGACAAATCTCTTGCCTGTTTTCTTGTGCATTTTTCAGTGCAAAGGGAAGGGGGCTTGTCTTGAATATTTTGCAAATGTTCATTTTCTTGTTAATCCTATTCTATACTGTATGCTGTAGATTTCTTGGTAATCCTGTTCTATACTGTATGCTGTAACTCTCAATCTCCAAAAGATCTCATAAAGAGCCAGCCTTTTGTTACTTAGTGGAATGAGTGGGAGGGGGCAAAGAGATTTTAGTGTCCAGCATAGAGCTAGGATAGCAATTGAGAAGGCCTGTCTCTGGATCCATTCCTCTTTATTCTGTTGGGGAGGGGAGCCAGTTTATCCTTATATGTATGGATTGTATGAGAAATCTTGGGCTTGTCTTGTCATGCGTGAAAGAGGAGTGATCGCAGGAGTGATCTGCTGTTCATCTTTCCTTCTTCAACATACAAATCAGTTTAATGAGGTTTTCTGTGGAGCACAACACCATTGCACTGCAACCACTTACATTTTTGGAGACATTGAGAGCAACTGACCTGGATCTCAAATGTGAAAGAAGCTCCATTCTGACTACAGTTCACTACTTTTCATTTAAGTCAGTAAAAAGAATCGGATGAAATATCCCAAGAGTTTCTTGAATGTTGGAATTTTCCCACTCACTGTTTTTGCCCTTCTTTTCTTAACAGTTTCCTGTAATTGCATTGCTGTTTTTATAATAGAAAGGTTTCTTGAGTTGAAGCATTGAGGCAATGACCCGTAGTAATATACATGGACCAAGAATATGTGCCCTGAGAGTCAGAGCATCTGAGCTCTTGATAATTATAAGTAGGTGGTGAGATATGGTATGGAAAAATATCTTACATTAAAGAGCTCAGTTAAATGTGCATTAGCTGAACTTTTTAAGCAAACATTTTGGAAGGAAATTAACAAGTTCAAGATACAACAGAATGTGACAGATGCCTTATGACAGAAATTATATTCCATCTGGATAAAAGGTTCCTTTTCTTCTTTCATAACTTTGTTTTTCTTGAAGATACATTCTATTGTATACCTGATTTTTTTTAAGACATAATCTACAGAAATAAAATTTAATTTTGTTTTTAAAACTGTTCATTGCTAGGAAGCTCCAATTCTGGCAAGTATACTCTTAACTAACCTGAATGTTCCTCCAGCACCATATTGGGGAAATAAATAAACTAAATAAATAAATAAATTGGGAAGTACAGTATGTTCTTGGAAGGAGATTTCCTATGGAATATAGCATAAAGGCCATATTCATTGACCTTCCTTGTGGTATTGTTATTGACTATAGGGCCTTTTCCCACTACTGTTCAGTTTTGTTTATTAATTAGTCAGACAATCATATCAAATAAAATAGAGTAAAATAATAGAGTAAAATAATAAAAGAATATAGTGATATAAAACTATTCAGTGAAATAATCATATATGGTCATCACCTTGGCAGTCATCACCAATCTGTCTTTTCAGTATGATGGCTTTAACTATAGACTTGGCAGTTGTTCTTACTGCCCATGTGTTGGAGGTACCTATTAATCGTGCCCCAGTGGACTGTCCTCTCAATTGGTGACCTTAAATGCTGGGCTGTGGCTGAAGAATATAGTTGGGAGTCAAAGAGGATATGAGAGATATCATCTATTTTACACACACACACACACACACACACACACACACATACACACACACTACTCTTTCTCTCTCTCTTCCCCCCCCCCCTCCAGTCTGGATAAGGTGAAATCACCCTTGTTTTGCTATAGAATCCATGAACTTAAATCTGGTTAGGGCTGTCATTTAGCTCTGTTAGATATTTTTCTAGTTGAAAAATGTTCTGGGCCAGCCATTTTAAGGATTTGATGTTAGCAAGTGTCTCTATATGAGCTTGAGCACTAATATCCAGGACCCTCTGCTGAAAATGTCTTTGGTTTGGGTGATGACTGAGATGAACTAGGGAAGTGAAAATCCATAGAACAATATGACTTAGGAAGCAGAGTGCTGATAAATGTATTTGGCATGTGGACAGCAGAGGAATCCTGGGATGTTATGGACTTAGATATTAAACAGCACCCTTGTCTAACATTACTGGTAATAGGTATGGTACGTGTTGGGGTGCTATTTATTCTTGTAAGGACTTTTAGAGGGCCTTAACCAAGCATAGGAGTCTGGGTTTCATGTCTAGAACTGCAAATTTATTCCACAGAATGTCTCTGTTAATAGAATCAAATGCCACACTAAAGTCAACAGGCCTTTCTCCACTACTGAATTAAAATATTATCCCCCATCTTTGATCTAGCGAAAACAATACTGGCATAATATTTCCTGCCTCTGTGACATCTATTTTGAATCCTTACCTGCCAAGTGATATGGTCCTGGTTTGTGAAAGTGCCCTCTATTATGGTAAAATGATTGGTGTTCCCCTCTAGCCAAGCTGCAGGAAATGCATTCCTGCTGAAGGAATGGGGTAAGTCCACTTCAATAATTCTGGTTGTCTTTCCTAAGCTGGTTTTTCTGCCCTTCTCCCACATCCTATATGGACACCTCCCAAGTTAAAAGAATAGGACATAAAGAAGACCCTGGGACCCAGGGTGGATAGAGGCAGACTTTGACACAATTATGCAACCAGTGAACTGCTGTAGTTCTGAGGATTGAAATTGACTAGCTGCGTAATAAACCTGCAGCCAAAAGCCACATTAAAGTGTTATCCATATGTCCTTGAGCTGGCAGAAAAGTATATTGCTATAAAATTAGTTTCAATTGCTGAGACCTGTCACAATGACAAAACTGGAGTCTTGTCCTATTCTTATTATTTTAATGTGGGAGATGGCAAGAAAATGGACTGGAGGGTTTCCCAGCTTCATTTCCCCTTCCATTAAGTGTTGCCTACCAGCTGGAGACCCCTGTCCCACAGCCTTTCCTAATGTCTGGTATGAAAAGGTTAGGCCCACAGGCAGTTGCTTTGTCTGGCACATTAAGCCATCTTTGTTGCCCAACCAACAGGTCCTAGGGGACTTGGAACAGGGGACTGAATTAAACAAGAAGGAGGAATCACTATTTAGCAAACTCCATCTCCAGACAGTGCTGCCCAGGATTGTCAGTGCTGGCAGAGACCAGGTTATGGTTGGTAGCACCTAGAAATAGACTGGATAAACATAGACTGAATAGAGTAAGTGAAACAATCCTCCTGCCTCGGCAATAAAAACAGTAAAAACATGGCCATGCAACCATTTCGTTGACAGAAGCAGCAGAAAGCCTGTAATTCCACAACCGAGAGCATCCAATTCCCAGTTTAAGCTGAATTTCATGCAGAATGAACTAGTGCTTTCACTCCTGTTTTTTAAAAAAAAACATTGTAAGTATAGCACTCTTTCAAAGGACCACTAAATCCAAGTTTAGAAGTGTTTTGGAAGGCACTGGTGGCTAGGCATTATCAGGACAGATATCTTTGTGGAAACTAGATGACTGTTTTCTTCTGCAACCCAAATCTGGATTATCAAGAAAGGCAGTGCCCTGAAACTGTAGGGGAGGGACATTTCTGCAGCAGCTTAAATAGGAGCTGGACAGATCCCAAACTGTGTGTATCAGCAACCATATTGTTGATGACATGTACTAGATCCTATCCATGACCAATTTTAGTTCAGAGAAGAAGAAAAATACTAATTTGAAACTGGAACAGCTGGAGACAACTTTAATGTATCTTAGCTGTTGGTGGAAGATGGTGGCAGAGATGTTTAAAAGGATTTATTAGGGCACATTATTGTATGGCTAAGGGTACTTGAGGATAGGGCTCTTGCTTTGGGGAGGGTATATGAGTAAGATTGAAACTGACAAATAGAAGTAAGTTGGCAAATTCAACATTCATTACTTTCAGGACGCTGCATTAAAA